TGAGACTAGGACAGTCCACATTTTGTTGAATCCTTCCTATCACTGTTTCCCTTTTTCCTCCTTTGTTGAGCTTTCTTTTTGCTTTATGTCCATTTTATTGTACCATTGAGAAAAAAAAATTGAATGAAATAATCAATGGATGTATAAGATTCTTTATAAGTTTCTACTTTGAAAATTTACTCATCTTACTGTATGTAACATATTCACATACATTAATAGCCACTCTCAGTATACTAGAAACAAATCAAACAATACCTAATAAAGTCAAGAGAACATCTTATATACGGTAGTGTATCACGAGAACTACTTTAAACTATATTTTCTGAATTTGCCTTGTTATTTTCTTTATTTGGAGTCACATATAAGTTGATATAGTTTCTTTTTAAGAGCCTGTCAATATTTTTGAGAATTTTATTACAATTTCAGATGTTGATTTTTTTTTATACTGAATGTGCCATCATAATAGAATAGATCAAATCCTGCAGTGTAGCTACTATTTCTTTACATTGCTCCCTAATTTAATGTTCTGTCTAGTAACCAGAGTATATTACTATCGTTTGCAATAAGTGTATTTTTAAACTTCTGCACTATAGCTGAACAATAAACGGAGATTGGAAATGTGACTGGATTCTATTGTTCTCTAGTTTCTGAGCTCATGCAGTGCATTGATATGCAAATAAGGTTGTTGGAACCGTAAGCGAGCATCTTTGGCACACAAGACAAGTGGATATTTTCGTGCTGTTATTGGACGTATTATATTTGTTAAAAAATGCTTAAACTTTTACTCTGACCATTCCTTTGAAAGGTAAGATACATAAACACATATATTGCAGTTTAAATGTTTGAAATATATGGTATGCATACATAAGGCTACAACAGGCTGATAACTCATCCACCCCTACCCTCAGCTGTCCAGGGCTAGGCCTAACCGGGTCCCGACACACGATAAAATGCCGGATTATAGGCAACATACTAAAGTTTGAACACAACTTATACATATTTATAAGCACATGTGTTCTAGAATCATTTACTACAACAGAAGTGGTATTTATTGGTGTAGAGAATTAAGTAAATCATGTTCAGGAATTAAGCCAATATGTATTTTTAATTTAATTTACTTATTTTCATATTTCTGACCATTTAGCAATATCATATGTTGCATACTTCAATTATTAAACACTTATATCTCTAATATTCATGAACCACTAGCCATTGGCGTGTGATATTCGAAAAGATTAGTTAAACCTGTGTAGAGACATTTAATCATCTTTATGGATTACTTGATTATGAATATGAAATACTGCTTTAAATTATGCCCTTGTTTAGGCCTATGTGTGGCTTAGGCAGTATAAGCCTGGCGGGGCAGGACCATTCCAGCCGCTAACAAGTTCGGCAGCGATGTGTGGATCCTAGGCTATATTTTAGGCTAGGCCTACAATTATAAAAATTAGTGCTGTAACAGAAACAAATGGAATTTGTTTTTGTCTATTTATGATATAGATTGCAGTAGGCCTACATCTCCATTCCTGTTGCAAATCATGTATTTTTTACATTAATTTTGTCAGCACACACAACATGATGATTATGGTACGCCTATACTATAGGCCTGTAATTTGTCCATGATGTCATCATGATGACCATATTTACTATTTAGGATATTTCACAATTGTTGTCAAATAAAATTTGATAGGCTGATATTGTTTCAAGGATGATTGCTGTATTTTTTGTTCAAATCTCAGTAAATGCTTACCTTAGTAAATCATTTACGAGGCTGTTAGTTATACTCCTAAGGTGCCTCTTTGTATGTTTGCCAAGGTTTTTTTTTAATGTATTCATGTACACTCACTGATAACAACTAATCTATAATTTTACACTCATAGGAAAATAAAATACTGATTGAATATAATATTGAGTATTTTTGCTTCATAATAATGTTCTTTTTCAGAATATGTTGGGCTTAAAATATGATGTTTTGTACTTGAATATTTCTTATTATGAATGTACCTAGGCCTACCTAAAAGACATTTTTCTTGATTTTACAGGCAATGATGACGCTGATGATTATTTGTTAATGCTTGGCACTATGATGAACTTGAATATGAAGATTATAATAATTGGTCGTGTTTGACATATCAGAAATTGCGAATGGATTGTGATATGATTGAAACTATTGTACTCGGTAGCACTGGTTTTGAGGAAATGGAGAGAATGAGGACAAAGTTTTCTTCCCCACAAAAACACCATTGCATTTGACAAAGAATTCAATCTTTTTGTTACTGTTCCTAACAAGTGCTTATCAGAAAATCATCCCTATTTGCAAGAACAAATCTGCTTAAGGTTAGACGTTAATGATGGTCTACTTAAAATTTTATTGAATTTCTAAAGTTTTTTTATTTGTTTTTGGGCAGACAATGTATCTTCAGTGGCGTCTCTAGAATATAATTTATGGGGGGCTAAGATGTCCGACTGGGGGCCTAAGTATTTATGGGTGTAACTATAGCGCGCAGCGTTATCTGAGGGCCGAAGGCCAGAGCTAAGGGTGGGTATGGGAGAGGGTGTCCCCTTCTCCCAAAACAAGATTTTTTTTTTTAAATTGGGACTTTTTAAAATTGGAATGGGCGGAAATGGCTAGGATGGGAAAACTAGGCCTATTTTTTTTTTTTTTTTGGTCCGACTGCCCGACGAGCTTTAGCCGATGGGGTGGGGGGCTTGACCAGACCGATGGGGGGCTTAAGCCCCCTGCCACTGTATATCTTATAAACAAACTAAAATAATCAAATCAAAGATACAGTTTAACTAGTATAGGACTTCAATAGTTTAGTCTGCTATAACAGGCATGTCTTTCAACCAACTACTGTTCCCACTTTTTTCTGCATGTACAGTAAATGAAACCATATCGAAATTAAAAAGATTGGTTTGTCAAACTTGTTTCGACCTGATTTTTTTTTTTTGCATGCTTTAAATGAGATGTAAACCATCATTACAGGCTGCAACCAAGTGCAGCACTAATGTCACATGTAAACATATTTCACAATTCACATAAGCTGAGACAACTAAACTGTAATAAATGCCATCATGATTCTATATTTCGATTTTCTTCATTCATCATATCAACATTTTTATAAATTTATGTTCACACTAGTGCTTTTTTCCATCTACAGTGTATCTCAACTGAATTCTGAGTGACTAGGTATGAGACTATTAACTATACAGGGCGCAGAATTAATGCAAGTGAATTATAAAATTGGCCAGTGGTATTTCAACCGCCTTCCACCACCCCCCACCACCCAAAAAAAAACATACCGCTTGAATTGTAACTGTCGTTGTGCCTACAGCAATACCATATACTACTAGTACTATGCTATGTTCACCACCCAGAAATTTTGTTTTTCTTCATTGTTTTTAGCTCTAAAATTAGATAATACTGATTGATTATTTTATTGAATGATCAATATACATATTAAACAAGTATTCATGGAATTGTGTTTAAGTAAAATATACATATTTAAGAAGGTTTTAAGAAGGTAAAAAAGGTCCAAACGAATTGTGTAGGGCATACAATGGAATCAGGCAGGCTAGCCCCTCAGACTTGGCTGCTTAGTTAGACCTGCTGTAGGCTGATGACAGGTTGATATTTTTCTCTTGTGTTTTTGTATCATTTCAATGAAGATACTGAGTACAAGCTAGGACTACACATACACCCCCTCTTCCCCTCCCCCTTCCCCCACGTCGGACATTATGTCGGCACTGCTGGAACCACTGCTGGTTTCAGGGCAAGCCTATTCGGTAGTTGTTTTTATTTACATGGTTCACTGATTATGAACTGAGCAGTAAGCAGGCAACAAAAGCAGGCAACACTCAACGAATCGCCGGGATAGAAGAACAATGGAAATTTAGGGTCGTTTTTAATCTCTGTGTATAGTTGTCTCAGATAGAAGGAATTAATAAAAAAAAAACCAAACCAGCACTCAATAGAGTGCATACCTCTGCTTCATTTTATAACATGATTTATTTAATTTCTGTATCTCACCCCAGTATTCTTAAAACAAATTTTAGTCGTAGTTTGAGCTAAAACTTAAAAATTACGTCATTTCGTATTCTTAAAACGAACTTCGACTAGCACTATGACTAAAATGATACCTCTGCAGGCTGATTTTTTTAGTCAGCCTAGGGTCAGGCTAAATCGCCAACTTGAAATATTTACCCCACTAAAAACGTGTTTTTGTAACTCATGATAATGTGAAACGAATAAAAACGATTGTATACGCAAGTTTGATATATCTTTGGTGTGTTAAACAAAAGAGACATCAAGTTTATTTTCCAAAAGAAGAAATTAACATGTTTTGTTAGCCACATGTGATAGTTCCTGATTTGCACAAAGTCCCCTCACGTTGCGATCACCTAGCTTCATCATAACAACAACAAAGATGGTGCCGCCTTTGTTCGGGCTCAACTATATATTCTCCAAAGAAAGTAAATTTTCAGTGGCTGTTCAAATTCTTTATCGTAATATGTTAACAACTAATTTAGGTATTATTATAGAAAATTAATTAAGCGAATAATGGTCTATTATGAATTATGAGGAAATACGTTTTTGAACCACAGACGGCAGCTTAATATTCATCCACGTTACCGGATCTCTAAAATTTTATCTGCTTTTTAAGTTAGCCCTTTTCATTGGTTAGTTTGATAGTCGTGGCTTGCCAGTCGTCTTCAGTTGAACTAAAACTAGGACTTGTTTAGTCGTAGTTAAAACTTCGACTATGTTGTTTGTGAATACAAATTGAAGTTGCAACAAGCACTAAATGAAGTTCTAGTTCGAAGTTTGACTAAAGTTTTTTTTAAGAATACGGGCGTTAGTCTTGATCTTTCTTCCAAAACATTTAATCACCTCTCACTTACAACAATATGCACTGCCGCATTAATGTATAATGATCCATTTATTTTGCAATAAACAAATGGTGGTAGCAATACCAAATAGCAGAGCTGACAATACTTACCATACTCATCTAAGTCTTGCAAAAGTTTATCAACAAATTGTTCTTCACTGGCATTGATGACAGTAAATGATGCAAACACAGGAGGTACAGCAGAATCTTCTGAAATTTTGACTGGTATTATCTTAGCATCATCAAGTGCTTTTGCTTCAAGCATTTTTACAACAACACTGTGTGCAGCATACTTAGAATATTCAGTCAATGGTTTTGGTGAAAATGCAATGATTACTTTCCTGCTTTTTGCTATTAAATCATTGATAGCTTCAGGTCTGCTTAACCTCCAATGTTTGAGGATAGTAAATATGAAATCTGGTCTTCTTTGTGTTAGGTCCACCACCATCTGACTTTCCCATTCAATTTCATCACTTATGATGCCATAGAAGGAATCATATTGAACTACAAAAAGAAAGAAAGAAACCTCTAAATTAAGTATATGGAATAATATCATTTTTGAATAGTATTATTTTATAAAAAAATTATATTGGATTATGCTATTGCTTTCAAGTGTTCATAGGGTAAAGCCCTCAAGCAAGGTTAAATAGAAGAAAAAAAATAACCTACTGTTTTGTAAATGAAAATATTTTGCAGGTAAATCTTTGTGGTACTCATGCCAAAAATGATAAGACTTGCATTGACAATGTAAAGTGGTTTGATAGAGTTGCATTGACAATGTGAAGTAGTTGGTTTTTAATTTTAGAAACAAAATGCAACAATTAATTGACTATGATCATGCTGGCCTCTATTTATATATAATCGGTATCTTTATTCAAAAAACTCCTTCATAAAAAAATACATTTGCAGCAAAAAGCTGAATTGAAGTATTTTGTACAAAAGGAAAACAAGAACGGGAGAAAAACTCAAAAAGCAAAAACATCACATTAAGACAATACAAAAGCAAACCCAAACCATCAGTTCAAAAGTTCACTACCTTGAAATTGCACAATTTGATTTATTTTTCAATTAATTTCATTAGATAAGTGAAGGGTTTTTTTTAAAAAACAAAACAAAAATATTATACAGTAAAAATATGAAATTCGTATGTTCATTTCTACTTGTTGAATATTAACCACCAACTTTTAACATCAAATACCACTGAAATAAATCTTTTTTACTTTATTAATCACATTCATCATATATTTACTCACCTCTTTCCTTTAGCCTCATAAGGGCAGATTCATATTCTTCCCTATCAACTACTGTCTTCCATTCTTTAATAAAATCCCCTTGAAGATCGTCTGGGACTATTAACTTTGCAAAATCTTTTATTAGTTCTCCGCTTGAATGTATTTCCCATAAATTCATCAATGCATATGGATCATAAACAGAAAGATGAAATACTATAGATCCCTTGGATATATCATCAATATGCAAATTTATGTTTTTGAGATACATGTAAATTCTTTTAAATTGTGTTGAAAATTCTGGAAGATCCTTTACTGACAACCTGTCAATATTTTCTGAGAGTTCATTCACCATATCAAGAGGAGTCTTTTGTCCTGGTTCATCTAGTCTCCGACGTTTTAATCCTAAATGGAAAGCTATGAATAGAAAGAAAATTATGTTTAATATTGTGTACTGCAGCTCAACATCAAAAGTTGGCTCATCTTTTACAGTGTTGACGTAATAGACCCGGTGATACAGGTTGAGCACTAACATTTTCAACAGCTACCCAGAGAATGGCCTGAAACTTTCTTGTAAAGTCAAGGTATTGGTATTTCATACCTAGAACAAACTGTCAATTTTCTCCATTATAAATCCTAAATTTTAAATTTCTATACACTAAACATGCATCATACATTAACGTGCCACCTTTTCAAACACATTTTTGGTCACAAACATGAACCACTGAGGTCTATTTGAAAGACCCCCCAAAGTTTCACACATTAAAATCTAACCCTTAAAAATTTAAATTCTTATTCTCATATAATAAAGACACATTATTTGAAACTATGAACATTCAATTAGCTAAGGTTTCAAATTGGTTTAATTATCATTATACATTAATCATTTAAACAAACTCACTTGAGTTAGTGAAACCATTTTCAACTAAACTGTCTATTGTAATCAATATTTATATACAGTACCACTTTTATCAGTTAACTTTGTATATGATAATATACAATAAAAAAGAACAGCAATGAAAAATCACACATTACCTTCACCAAAACTATTCCCTGAGTTTGAAGATGTATTTGGAATGTCTATAAATAAAATTCAATTGAAATTAAAATATTAAATATTTTTGAAAATTAAACATGAAATAAGACTTGAGGCCTGTGTTGATCCCAGTGAGAGGCCGAGAGGGGGATTGGACTCTGACTGAACAATCATTAGTATGAATTGCTGACACAGAGAAAGCATGAGTGGTTCAAATTATTATATACTTTAACAAGTCTAAAAAAATATAAAGAAATGAATAGTAACCCATGGTTTCAGGGTGTTATTTTAAACAGTTTTGATTGAATAGACAACGGCGGTGTGGAGCGCCAAGGCAAGGGCAGCCTACGTTGTTAAGAATTATTATAAACTTCACAGTTATAACTCAATTTTACAGTTGAACTCTGTGCTATATGCATCCTGTGATTATTGTGAACGTTATTTGTGGTGTAATGTCGATATTTTGTGGTATATTTTCACATTAATTATGATGGTCGTTTTTTTAGGTTGAGCTAGGCCTGGTGCACGGAGTAGGTAGCAGCGCTGAACTAACCTATCATGCTTGAGCGAGCAATTGATTGGAATCAAAGGAATTGCAACACGGGCCTAGGTATACTCAGCCCAGCTGGTTGGCATTCATCGTCTCATTTCGACCACTGAGGCATTTTAAAAAGTGAACATTGTTTTTTATAGTGACGGCAATCCACGCTGATATTTTGTACAGATATTGAGTATCAGTAAGCGGAAGAGATTGAGATTATGATTACCTACTCATCTTCTGTACTCAGACATTTAAACCCGAAGTGCAAAACAAATCGCAAAGGAAATGGAAATATTTTACCTGCAGATATATGGTCAAGGCTTACGTCCCTTGGATTAGCCAAAAAGAGGTTGCCGTGCTGGTAGAATGAAACAACGTAAAATACATACAATAATTTCAACTGGAATGCACCACAAGTATAAATTGTTCCGCAACAATGGAAACAGAGATAGAGTTTTGGTGGAAATTATACGTAAGTCTACAGCTGTTAAACAACCAAAACCATCATTCATAACGATGATGATGTTAACAAATTCCTGTTCCATTCTGAATAAAATGGATGAATTTTCACCGATTATTACAACTGAAAAGTTGATATCTTTTTAAATATTTTATATGTTTATCTTGTATATAGTATTTATTTTATGTGAAACTGGGTGAGTGGGAAACACTGACATTAGTCACAGTGATTAAGTTCGCTTTAGTGTTTCCATCCAGCTCACCCAGTTGATTTTATGTGTTTTGTCTGTTTTAATTGGAAATAAAAGAATAAGAATAAGAATAAGAATAAGAATATTTGTGTGGTATCCGAATCATGGGTAACACCAGAGACGACCGCAGAGCAATACAGCATTCCAAATTTCAATATATTCAGTAAACATAGAGAAAATAAAAGAGGAGGCGGCATTCTTGTTTATGTGAGATATCATATGACTGTCAATGTGCTGGAAGATATACAGGTACCTCCTGAACTAGAAATTATATGGTTGTTGATTGAACATCCAAAAATGCCCAGAATTGCTCCATACTTTGTGATACAGTAGCTGCTGTATACATTCCACCTGATTCACCAAACCAGGAATTACTCATCAACCATCTAAATTCTACTGTTGATTTTATAAGGACATATAAATCACAGGCTGGTATAATACTCATGGGAGATATCAATAACACCAAAACCAAGCACCTTTGCCTCAGAAACCAACTTAAGCAGATTGTTACCTCTCCTACAAGAAACCAAGCCATTTTAGATTTAGTAATAACGAACATTCCTGATCTATACTCTGTACCTGTAATTAAACCACCCATCGGTCGCAGCGACCACAATTGTATCTTTGTAATGCCTAAACAAAAATTGAAAAACAACTATGTTAAAACAAAAGTTTCTCAGCCTATTACGGATTCTGGCCTAAACCAGTTTGGAAGATGGATCCAGGAACAATCCTGGTCTAAGTTAAGGAGAGTTGATGATGTGCAATTGAAGGCAAATGCCTTTTATGAAATGCTCAATCCTGCCATTGAAAAATATTTTCCAGTAAAAGTAACTAGAATCCATAGGGACGACAGACCTTGGATGACAGGTAAAATTAAAAAGGTTATTAAAAAAAGACAAAGGGCATTTGCTAAAGACAACGAAGGAACCAAATTATCTTCGAAATAGAAAAAGCTAAAAAGTTTTTTTATGCCAATAGGATTAAATGTCTTAAGCAAACAGAACCAGGAAGGTGGCATAGGGAAATATGTAATTTTACAAACATGGGTAAATCCAACATATCTATTTCAATTCCAAGCATTGATCCCAATAGCCATGGTTTGATTGCCAATGAGATAAACAAACATCTGTCCAGTTTCTCATTAACACAAGACCCAATCAAACTTGACCAACTACAGTACCTGCATATTTACCATGTTCAATGCCACCTCCCTGGTTCCCAAGTCAGTGGAAGGCTGCAAATGTTGTCCCTCTACCAAAACAGACACCCCCTTCAATAGAAAAACTTCGACCAATTTCACTCCACCATTGCAAAAATTGCTGAGAAGAGAGTCTCTAAATTTGTAATTGATTGATCCAGCCTCACCTTGATATCAGAAGGGGGTGTCTGCTACACACTGCCTTGTAGATGTTTACCATCACTTGGCATACAATTCTGAGAAGTCCGCCAATATCAGTACATTGGTATTGACGTACTTCTCAAAGGCGTTTGACGTCCTGGACAATACCTTTGTTTTTTCAAATTTACTTGCCATGGGTGTTCAACCTACTATATTAAAATGGGTTGTTAGCTTTATCTCAAAACGAGTAAAATATAACAACTCTTACTCGGATTGGGTTACTCTGCATGGTGGTGTCCCACAAGGGACAATTTTGGCTCCAATTATATTCCTATGTGCGATCAATGGGGCGATGGCAGACAGCGAGGGATCAAATGTTCATGTCTGGACGTATGTGGATGACCTGACTCTTGGTGAAAGTAGGTATTTACATGAGCCTAGTAACATCCAAAATGCTGTGGACTCTCTAATTAAGTGGTCAGCAGAAAACAAGCTGAAGCTCAACCCCACCAAGTGTCAGGTCATGCAAGTTTATTTTGGCCGAAAGGCACTTCCAGAGATGAACATTTATATATCTGATTATATCCTCCCCACTGTCGATCGATTAAAACTCGAGTATCACCAATGCTATTTATAGTAAGGCCAATAGAAAATTATTCATGATTAGGAAACTAAAACAAGCTGGTTTGGATCATTATGAGTTGACTTGTATCTATAAATCTTATATCCGCCCTCTGTTGGAGTATGATGCGACCTTGTGGAACTCTGGCCTCACTAGAGCACAGTCGGCTCACTTGGAGGGAATTCAGAAACGTGTATGCCGCTGTATTCTATCTGAGGCGTATGTTTCTTACGAAGAGTCTCTCAAGACCTTAAGTTTTGAAATGTTATCAGAGAGTAAGAGTTTCGCTATTAAGGCTAGTGAATCCTGTAGATTCAGTTCATGGTTTCCAAAGACAAGCTCAGAAACATCTATTGCTCTAAGAAAGCCTAGAAAATATGATAAATTAAGATGTAAAACCAACCGATATAAGCACAGTCCTCTACCATACCTTATACAGTTTCTTGAATAGGCATAGTTCCCCTGCATTACTCCACTGTAACTATGTTTTAAATCCGTATACATATTTATTTTTTATATATACATATTTATATTTTTTAATGACCAATTTTTATACAAATTATAATAATTAGCAATGAAAATTTTAATATTAAAAACAATGTCTATGATTAATAATAGTAATAATAACAATAGCAACAATATTAATATAATAATAATTCTGATATGACTTATATAATAACCTATGTATGTGGTTTTTTATTTCCAATTTTATAATGTTTCATAATCTTGTTTAATTAGGTTGTTTGTGTGTGATATGCAAATGAGTCGAGTTCAAAGCTGCCGCAGCGCGTGAAGAAAAAAATGTGAATTATAGAGTAATACGTCCGCGCGCGATCCAAAGGCGGGGAACACATAGGTTTGTCGCATCAAAAGGATCTGTTGCCTAGTGATCTCCTTCTCAATAATACCTCCATGGCAGAGATCCCAAGTTTGAAAACCAAAAAATAGGGAGATTTTTTTTCATGAAGCGATCGCCTCCTGTAGCGACGCGCTGTGACGCCTTACAACGCGCTGTGCAACATGAAAGTATTACACA